TCCCCAAATGTACCCGGGTGTGCCCCAGGGGTGCCCCAAATGTGCCCAGGGGTGACCCAAATGTGCCCAGGTGTCCCCAGATGTACCCGGGTGTGCCCCAGGTGTGCCCAGGGGTGCCCAGGTGTGCCCAGGTGTGCCCAGGTGTCCCCAAATGTACCCGGGTGTGCCCCAGGTGTGCCCAGGGGTGCCCAGGTGTGCCCAGGGGTGACCCAGATGTGCCCAGGGGTGACCCAAATGTGCCCAGGTGTGCCCCCAGGTGTGCCCAGGGGTGCCCCAGATGTGCCCAGGGGTGACCCAGATGTGCCCAGGGGTGACCCAAATGTGCCCAGGTGTGCCCCCAGGTGTGCCCAGGTGCCCTCAGGTGTGTCCCCGTCCCGCAGGACCTGAACTGCCAGGAGGAGGAGGACCCCATGAACAAGCTGAAGGGCCAGAAGATCGTCTCCTGCCGCATCTGCAAGGGCGACCACTGGACCACGCGCTGCCCCTACAAGGACACGCTGGGGCCCATGCAGAAGGAGCTGGCCGAGCAGCTGGGGCTGTCCACGGGCGAGAAGGAGAAGCTGCCCGGAGGTGGGACCCCAAACCCCAAATCCCAAATTTTTTTGGGAATTTTTCCCGTTTTTGCACGGTTATGGAGCCCCAAGGTCATCCTGGTGGTCCCATTGTTGCTGTGGTGGCCCCGTGCAGAAGGCACAGCTGGGGCTGTCCACGGGCGAGAAGGAGAAGCTGCCCGGAGGTGGGACCCCAAACCCCAAATCCCACTTTTTTTGGGAATTTTTCCCGTATTTTTCCCATTTTTGCACGGTTATGGGGCTTTAAGGTCACCATGGTAGTCCCAAGGTCACCCTGGTGGTCCCATTGTTTCTGTGGTGGCCCCGTGCAGAAGGAGCAGCTGGGGCTGTCCATGGGCAAGGAGAAGGAGAAGCTGCCCGGAGGTGGGACCCCAGACCCCAAATCCCAAATTTTTTTGGGAATTTTTCCCATTTTGACGTGGTTATGGAGCTCCGAGGTCACCGTGGTGGTCCCATTGTTGTTGTGGTGGCCCCATGCAGAAGGCACAGCTGGGGCTGTCCATGGGCAAGGAGAAGCTGCCCAAAGGTGGGACCCCAAATCCCAAACCCCAAATCCCACTTTTTTTGGGAATTTTTCCCGTATTTTTCCCATTTTTGCACGGTTATGGGGCCTCAAGGTCCTCGTGGTAGCCCCAAGGTCACCCTGGTGGTCCTGGTGTTGTTGTGGTGGCCCCGTGCAGAAGGCACAGCTGGGGCTGTCCACGGGCGAGAAGGAGAAGTTGCCCAAAGGTGGGACCCCAAATCCCAAATCCCAAATTTTTTTGGGAATTTTCCCCATTTTGACATGGTTATGGAGCTCCGAGGTCACCGTGGTGGTCCCATTGTTGTTGTGGTGGCCCCGTGCAGAAGGCACAGCTGGGGCTGTCCACAGGCGAGAAGGAGAAGCTGCCCGGAGGTGGGACCCCAAACCCCAAACCCCAAATCCCAAATTTTTTTGGGAATTTTTCCCATTTTGACGTGGTTATGGAGCCCCAAGGTCATCCTGGTGGTCCCATTGTTGCTGTGGTGGCCCCGTGCAGAAGGCACAGCTGGGGCTGTCCACAGGCGAGAAGGAGAAGCTGCCCGGAGGTGGGACCCCAAACCCCAAATCCCACTTTTTTTGGGAATTTTTCCCGTATTTTTCCCATTTTTGCATGGTTATGGAGCCCCAAGGTCATCGTGGTAGCCCCAAGGTCACCCTGGTGGTGGCCCCGTGCAGAAGGAGCAGCTGGGGCTGTGCCTCACCTGTCCCACCTGTCTGTATCTCACCTGTCCATGTCCCACCTGTCCCACCTGTCCATGTCTCACCTGTCCATGTCCCACCTGTCTGTCCCTCACCTGTCCTTACCTGTCCCACCTGTGTCCCACCTGTC